GCTCTGGCAATGTGCTCTAAAAGAAAAAAATCCAACAAAACAAAAAGCTCGATTTGTTACTTATGAAAGGGAACCTAAAGACTAAGGAAATGCTAAGAGGAGATTTTGTGATCTAATGGCTTGTCGTAATGTCTTCAGGATAGTTCAATATAACACTGAACATGGAAGTTAAATCAGGGTGTAAACATTCCCTTGTTTCTTAAATAAATAAAAAAAAAAAGGAGCTTCCTTTCTCTATAGATACTGAACTGTATCCTGTAAATATTTCTGCAGAAGCTTTTTCTGAGTCTGATGGCTAAGAAAATTTCAAGTGTCTGAGTTTCACTCCTGGGCATGAATTCCCTAGACAACAGAATAGTTTTTTGAACCTTAGGATACTGACCCTTAAAAAAGACTTCTGCGAAACCATGAAAAATCTTCAGCGGATATGTTTTCCAAATTTTCTCAATAACTTTTTTTTTTTTTTTTTTGTCTTTCAGTAACATACTCAAACTAATTGAAGAATAAGCTCTATATTTTACAAGCACATGGTCTAAAGTTTTTAATGTTTTTAATATTCATGCAGAAATACTGATACTAATAATAGATTAACTGAAGTTATCAAGACTAAAGCAGAACACTAAACTAGTTACAAGCAAAGGATAAGGGGAAAGCAGCAACTGCTGTTTTAAATACAGACGAGAAACAAAGCTGAAATTAGTGTCCTTAGCAGAAGAAAAGCCACCCAATATCATACAAGGTAACGCAAAACACTACTGATAAGTAAGCCTAGTAGTGGAGTAAAAAAGTTTCTTAGATGACCTAAAAAATCTTTAGTGTTTTAAATTAAATTGCACATGTGCATGGTGATATGAAAATAGTTGTTCCGTCCAAGGTGTATATTGACTCCATACTTTAAAAATGACTTGACACTTGCTGATTAAAAACTACAATGAATGGTTTAAGAAAGCTAAATTTATAGAATTTAGAGAAACAATACTCTTGACACATTTTAAAAGATACCTAAACTGACCTTACCATCCGCAGAATTAAAAATAGCCTTATTTTCTTCTTACAAGGTTTGATCATAACAGCTAGCACTATTAACCATAGGAAAACTACTGCTTCCTACTCTTTTGGAATTATACCAGTATGGGGAGTTTGAACTTAATGTCTTTTTTCCTCTTCTCTTCCACCTAAAAACAAACAAACAAGAACTAATAAAACCAAGGTAAAAGTGCTACATTCTGGTTTGTGTTACTGTTGAAATTTTACAAGTATGCTTTAAAGGTGATAAAAATGATGTTTTATAGAAAAGAAAAAGTAGGAGCCAAATGAGACTGTAATGCAGAAGAGAATAAAAACAATACAGTAGGATAAAAGAAAATGAGCAAAGAAACAACAACAGGGGAAAATAATGAGCCAGAACAAAAATGTCACCACTAGAAGAATTTGCAAGAATTCTCAACAGCAATAGAAAATTACAGACGTGGCAACAAGAAACTTGAGAAAAAATGGAAAGAGCTGGGTTTAAGGAGTGGAATCAGCCAACTAGTTCCTTTCCTCCTTGTTTAAATGAGTACAAAAAGCTTTTTGATGGCCACTTAATCTGTTTATCACCATAACAAAGTTCAATAAAGATGGAATTATAATGATAGAGAACTACTGAAAAAGGCCCTGTAAAAACTCCTGAATACTAGATGGTTTTATCATTAGAGATAACATGAACAACATTAACAAAACTTCTATCAATAACAAAGAATTCAACTAAAAACACAGCAAAAAATATTTTTAAAGGATGTTTAAGTGACAAAATGTAAATGCTGAATCTCAAAGGGAGATTAAAAAAAAAAAAAACAGGTTATTTAAAAAAAAAAACAAAAAACAGGTCTATTGGCAATTATCAGACTTCAGTTTGTGAAAAACCTCAAGTAAATGGGTGGTTTACCAGTAACATTACACTAAAATTTGTTTTCGTTTTACACTTTCCCTAATAAGTAGTCAGTATTTGGAAAGAGCACTGAGCAATAAAGATGTTCAGAAGCTACCTCTATTTCTCTCCGTAGATATTTGACGTAGGAGAAAATATTAAAAAAAAAAACACAACAGAAAATAACGTTGATATATTCTGCTTGATTTATAGGTTTTGCTTTCCTCCTCGTTCTCATCAGATTTGTTCTCATTTTATATTTCACTATACTTGCCCATGATATTTTGTCAGTCAGTTAAGTCATACCTCAGAGTCCAACAATGAGGAGGAAATTCTTAAAAATGTTGCCATTCAAGTTAGTGATGAGTTCACACCTGCTATCAGGAAATTGCAGTACTGATCTAAAAAGCAACTAAGTTGAAAACATATTCTGTTATCAGAAAAAGAAAAACTGAATGTATAGAATTTTCATTGAGTTTTCTGTAAGACATTATTAATCTTACTTTGCAAAGTAGTCATTCCCCACGGATTAAACTGTTCAGGTTCAACAGATATTTGTGAAATATGTGCCACAGAATTTGTGGCCCCAAGTTGGAAACTAAAATCTACCTGCTGTTCAGTTTGTATTTGGTTAATGTCAAGCTTACACATTCTTTAGTGTTACACAGATTTAACTGAGAATGCAATGAAGACGTATCACATGAAACTTGAAATATATATATATGATACACTACATGGTCAAAGCTTTTACAGAACAGATCTTTCAGAATATTAAATGCTTTATTGCGATTGGTTCTTCAGCAGCTGATCCAGACAGACTACGCGTGAGATAATAGTCTCCTAGCAGACCACCACAGATAATGAAAAAGCAAAGTCAGATCCTCTGTTACAAATCCTAACTAAAAAACAGGAAAGCTCAAATGACTCTGACAGCACAGCCCTGACTTGAGTTCATGTAATGTTCTCAATAGTTGCAAAGAGTCCTAACAACATTACCAGTGCTTTCAGCTCATTTTATACATAGTTTTGCAATTCAGAAAGCTTTTTGCATGGACATCACATCTTATTTTTTCCAGTTATTACAAATTTTTGAATTCATTTATATATAATATATTCCTTTAGCAAGACAATATCAGTATGCATGAAACAGTCTTCAGTAGACACTTAACTTTGCTTCTGTTTCTCTAGCAAAAACCTTCTGGATTCTGGGGATAGATTTAAAGGCCTTCAAATAATGTTGTGATAGCAGGAATATTACCAAATACTGGAGATGTTCTGAACTGTCCATTTTTGTTCATTTTCTAGAATTATGTGTGGGTTTTCTTTTTTCAGGGTTTTTGGGTGCTCCTGAAGTACACAGAGTATTAAAAATTGACTCCACTGAAGCAAGAGAAGCTCTGCTTCCATATTGAAATGGTCCTTCTGCAAACCTACACTCTAACCAGAGAAACTTGTATTTCTTCATTTTATCTCTCAATTTGGCCACATATTAATCATTTCTCCTCGATCATTTAATAGACTGGAAGAATAAATACAGATGCACTCAGATGCACACATGTATTAAATGTACACTTTTAATGTACACTGGAAAGCTCATGTCTTCGATGTGTGAATTTATAATTGTTTTACATATTTTAGGTATGAAGATAGTACTGTCTCTGTGTGACCATCACTCCCCTTAGGCAGTCATGCTTTGCTCTTACTCACTTAAAACCACAATATTTTGTTAGTGAGGATGTTGGAATTTATCTCCAAACATAAGTACGTATGCATCATTACCCAATATAGATCTAATCCTCTCATTTAAGTATCCAATACAAAGCTATCATTTAATTTTTATAATGATGGTTAACATCAGCAGCACCACAAAATTTCTTTTGAGCATTTCTAAATGAATAAAAATTTCCTTTGTAATTAACCTGATACTAAATATAAGGCTGTAACATCATACACATAATTGCTGCATAGCATTTTCAGCATCACTTGTATGCATGTGCAAAATGAATTTTTTGTAAGTTTTTTATGCAGTGCATTTGCTGACGAGCAAAGAGAATTTTTTTTCCTTTTATTGCTACCATCCAGACTTTGTTTTCCATATATTGCCTTTGTGTGCATTACAAATGAAATGCCATACTGTTCCCCAAACCTCATTTATAACTCTTTCTCTTCACATTTCTTCTTGCCGTTTTATCATTAATGCTAATGTTCTGTTGATACTTAAGAAGTAGAACTTCCATTACTAGAAATGAATAAATGAATGAATCGCACTAGAAAACCACTGCATTGAGTTTAAGGCAATAGTACACAGTCTAGGTGCAGTTCTCACCACATTTCTATTGAGAAAGCAAAAGTAATAAGTCATTTATAGAAATGACTTATTCTTTTTCCATTATTGGTATTCTATGATATGCTAACTTTATCCTTCTAAATTCCTTCAGTTTTAAACTGAAAGCATACTGAAAAATGCAAACTGTTTTAAATGACTGAATCATATAAATACATACATACACACATCAAAGGATACCTTTTAACACTGGATAAATTTTAACTCCAGAATTCACTCACAGATGCCCTATTTAAGAAAATAGAATATCGAACCCTATCACTATGCATATTGTACCTATATCAAGAAACAGTCTCAGCCTCAATGACTGTTTCTTAAGAGACCTGTTGCCCACATTTTTTTTTTATAGACCTAAATGCCCATCAAAGTTACAGTAGCTTAACTTCATGCCAGCATTCACATTGTTCCTCATGTTTCCATACTGAAAGTGCTTCAGAAAATTCAGTGTTTTTGTTTAAAAACAAATCACTCAAAAACAAAGAAACAAACAAACAAAAAAAACCACCACACACTGACAAATGAAAAAATATCCCTTTAGATCAAGAAGGACAATTTTTCTGCATTTATCCTGCCCCAAGTTTTTAGAGACTTATCTGTCTCCATAACTGTTTAAAACTCCTAAAATTACTTACTCCTTCTCATCCTCTTATCATCTACCATAGAACATTTTATCATGGTGTATCATTTTTGTGGCAGAGTTTTTTTTGTTTTTTTTTTTACATCTTTTGATTTCCACTTTTATCTGTCTTATACTATATCAAGCAACACCACATTCAGTCATTTGGATACCACTGAAAGAAAGTGCAAAAACCAAATTCAGATTATTTGATATTTTTAGTAAAGCATCAATTGGAAAAAATAACACATCTTAGGTAGAATAACATACTCCAGCACTTGTTAAACATCAGTGCTCAGTATGAGAAAAAAGTGAAGGTAAAAGTAACAGGACACAGGCTTAAGGCAAGATGATTTGTTTTTCTCCAGTGTTCCTAGAGTTGCTTTCTAAAATAATTATTTTCCTTATTACTGTATATTCAGAAGAACCAATTTCTACTTTAATTAAGAACTTTTACTTTAGTGTGAAGACATAAACCAATGTAAATGTCCTGTCAACAATTTCTTTGGTCCTTATAATAAGCGGTAAGTCTAAATACTGCTTCTGTACTGATAAATACTGTCAAGTAAGTGCAAAGAGAAAATCCACTCAGTAACAAAGGAAGATATGTTCTAAAGAGTTCTCCATTCAAAATAATTCACAGATGAAATATGTTTAGGAACTTCAGTAGACACGCTGATTGTGTCTGCCTGAAGTCTAAATATCACTTATCAATCATGATTTTTTTTTTTTTTCGGACTACTAGAATCCTTTGTGAGCAAAAAAACCCCAACAACCCAGAGTAATTCCTTAGTGATTCATATTGTCAAAAGCAATGAAAAAGAAAAGAAACAAAGGAAAATGTATTGGAAATGATGCATAAAGTTAAAATCCAAATCCATGCTCATAAGTCACAGGACTGTTTTCAGTTTTTCAATGAAACAACAGCTGTAGCAACACTTCAGTAGGGTGGCAGCTTTAGAAATACACCAGAAGTTTCAGTATTTTATATACAGATTCAAGAAGACTTTGGAGGAACAAGTAAACTGATTGTTTAGGAAGCAAAACTAGTTTTTCTTCTCATCCGAACTCTTAAATTGTCTTATTTTTCTTCAACTTTTCTTCTTTGCATGACTTTCACAGTAAGTTTTTTCACAGCTCTCTTCATTTTCAAAATCTATGTCTTTAAGCAGCATACAGATCTGTGCCAACGCATCAGAATGAAAAATGCTCTCCCTATCCTCTTCCAAATAACATTATCCTACACAGACTGAAAATATTAGCATAATAAAAATGGTGATGAAAAAAGAAAGCACGACAGACAGCATAAGCTAGGCAATTCTGTGCTGAAAGGCTTTAAAACGGATTCTCAAATGCGCAGAAAGAGAAGGAATAATGGTAGCAGATGAAGTTCAGTAAGGAATGTCAAGTTCAAAAAGGATAAAATGCACATAGTCATTTAGGTGTTTTTTTTTTTTTTTAACAAATTATTTATTTGCTACTTCACTGTGTTTTCAATATACCTTTGACAAATACAAAGAGAACTATACAGTTTTATACACAAAGAAGTTCCTGGAAGCTTGATTGAAAGAATGAGAGAAAATGCTGAAGATGGTTGTTATAAAGGAAAGAAGAAAAGAGGAAATAAGACTGGTAAATAGTAGCACCATGTTAAGTGGAACCATAATCAGCCACAACAATGCAACATCACCTGTGTAGGAAGTCCATTCACTTTCAGTTGTCACAAGACATTTTAGTTGAATGTTTTTAATCTCAGTTTGGATCCATTTCAGAATACCCTGTGAAATGTTATCTTTAAATTAGAGTAGTATGGTCTCTGCTTAAAATTGAAGCCATGGATTCCAAACAGTTGCTCAGGTTGAGTTAAGTCTTCCTACCATATACTATGTGACTTAATTAAAATGGCACATTAGCAAAAGTCCAAGTATCATCCCATGATTGCAGAATAATGTATTAGCAGGAAACTTGTAAGCCTGCTGCTGGCACAATCACTTTCTCATCTTACCTGGTAAAGGTTTAGTGTAGAGTATATCCCCAAGTGAATGAAGTCAATCAGAGGAAAAGGAACACTGAAGCAACAAAAAACGGTGGCAGGGTTTGTGGTGAACCCTACAATTTGCTTATTTCTTGCATTAATCAAGACATGATCCAGTGATATTTATATTTTTTGGCAACTTAACACAGCACAGTCATGTTCATCAAACAATATCTACTTAGTTCACAAGCATCAGTGGTCTTAAAAAACATCGCTTGGAAGACAAAGTACATAAAAAGTAAAGGTATGATTCTAAGGCATTCAGAAATTACAGTGCACATTTTTAGGATCAGCTATCCCCTTTGTTAGGATAAAGCTGGGCAAATTTTGGCATTGTAAAAGATTATGAAATTCCCTACAGAAATATCTCCTGGATCTCACATAAAAATTACAAAAATTAATATTCATGAAATAGAGCACATGCCAAAAGGCATCGATAGTGTATTCACAAATGGTGTTAACTCATTATTATTGCAAGACATAAATTAAAAAGCTTCAAAACTAATAGTTTCTTTAGGCTTCCAGATCTTGAAGATGTATTTTCCAGTCTCAGAGACAATCATCACTGAAGTTTCTTACATGTTGTGAATCACCAATAGATGATTAAAGTGCATGCAATAAGAATAATTGAATTTTATTTCAGATAATAACTGCATGATAACTTACTAATCATTTACTTATATATGTTAATAATAAAGATAGTGCAGCCAAAAAAGTGATGTTTGCTGAAAACCAAATACGAAGCAGTAGATTCTGCCAGTAATTTTAACTTGTAACTCATTTATTATACATCAGTATTAAATTAAATCCATAAGTGCAGAGTGTCCAGATGTTGTTTTTTAATTTAATAATGATGGAACCAATGAGAGGCTGATAGGTTTGTAAACTAAGCCTTCAGAACATGGAGAATTCCACAGGGCCTTTAAAAGAGAAAAAAAGAAAAAAATGGAATGAAATCTTAAAAGATACATGGTTTGATGGTAACACAAAGTTATGTGAAAAATGTTCATTTAAGCAGATATGCAGGCAGCATGTAATAAAGCTTCTTTCACACTGATCACCAATATAACGGTGGAATTAAGTGATCACAAAGAAAAATGGGAAATCTTCAGCTTGTGCATGACAGTTCTAGTTAGAAAAAATAATTTATTAGATGCCATCTTTGTACAGGAAAAGTCACCAGAATGAGACAGGTCATGCTAATAGAGGGAACCTACATGCGGAGTGCACACACACAACTTGAAAATATTTTCACATTATGATAGTAGATCAAGCTGCATTAAAAAGCATTCATAAAACAGACCTGTACATGAAAAAAATATATGTTGTTTAAATTATACTGCTTTATAATACAGTAGTTATCCAAAGCTAATTTTTCAAGTTTGCTTATTGGTCTTTTCTTCAAGCTGAGTCTGTATTCATGATATATTTAAAATGATACTTGTGTGTATAGGTTATGGAAACATACTCAAAATCTATTAAAAAAACTATGGAGGAGAATTTCTATCAAGTTGAATCCAATTTACTAAATACTCAATTCATTTACTTTTCATAATGTCTTGAATTTTGAAATCAATTTTTCTCTGCTAATTTTACCTTTCATTTTGCCCACTCATTATTCCTAAAGGAACCAAAGGAACAAAAGATTTCAGTGCTGGTAAGATATTCCCAAATACATTTTTTGACTTACAGACAAGATACTACAGGTATTCAGTGGCAAGCATGAACAGAATCAGTAAACTATAATTCAATGAGACAAATATGTCATCTTAAATTTCAAAAAGGTAAAAAAAAGTATAATCTGTTAGTACTACATATAAAAGGGAATGTACGCTAAAATACGCTACTAATTTTAGGGACAAATGCTTACTTATTTAATATTTATAGATGTGATATACTGCCTGGTAGCACCTTTGCAGTAGACACAAGGCAACTGTGGTGTGGTCAAAACATACTATTAGAAAACAATTTTGTTAAGTCACGCTCATTAAAAAGCATTACACAGAAATTTAAGGAAACAGCAAAAGACAGACACAAAATGTCCTGAAAGAGAATCATAAGCTTGAATGAAAAAGTAAACTCATGAAGTAATCTAAAGAGAAGGCAGCGATGGTCTAAAGCAGATAAAGCTGTAAAAGCATTATCTTCAAAAATAAAATTAAAAAATGAGGATGAATAAATGATTATAACTACATCTCCACCTTTCCCCCCTTTCTTCCCTACGCTGAGAGATACAAATTCTGAATGAGTACTGACCAGAATTGCTGTCACACTACCACCTTATATTTTGCTGTACTTCAAATCAAGATAACAGCGTGACTGCAAATGTGAAGACAGAATAAGCTTATGACATGACAAAGAAATATAAAATAAGTAGTTAGATAGAGAAGTAAAAAGGTTAGAAAAACACTGCAACTATTAGAGATGTCTTACAGAAAGATTATATTTTATAAGATATGGACACTGTAGTATTAGACTGATTTTAGTCTACAAGGAAACTCTGCTGTTGTATAAAATCCACATTTTATTACAGTTACTTAAATTGAACTGTGTTTATACTGGCAGCTAGTAGCCAAGTTGCATTCAACAAATCAATACTGAAGATCATTCATACTAATTGAGCAGCACTACAGAATATGAAATAAAATGGTTTATGGAAGCCCATCTCATTTCTGCACTACAACTCCCAGTTTCAGTCCCAGAACCCAAATTACTTAAGTTCATGATTCGTAATACAGATATTTGAAGACAGTAATTTAGGTGGAAATTCCTTGACTTTCTGCAGCAAAAAAACAACTTTCTAAGAAACCTGGATTACTTTCTAACATCTTCTCTCAGAACACATGGCAGTTGGCCTGATACTTAACTTTTGGAGTAGTCAAGTAGCAAAAGTGGTAATGTTAATCACTTCATGAAATTGGCACTTGTCATCTTTAAAGGCTTTTGGCTCCGTAATCAAAACTTTAAACTTTACTTTTTAACTCCATTATTAAGTTTCAGATTGCAGTACATTGTTTCTGTATAGAAAACATTATGCATTAGGGTTTCTTGTTTAAATGACTCTTTATGTGTAACGTTATCTTTACTGTTTTAACAGGTATTGCAGAAGATTACATGAACTCAAATTCAGCTGATCACCTTGAAAGCCAGAATCTGACTCTAATTATGCCATATATCCACCAAGCTAAAATTCAGTATATTCATTTGCACTCTGGTAACCTCTCAGATACTTATCAAAAACATTCAGAAGGAAAACTCCCATGACTTTTTCAGAGTAGTTTGACAGACAGAAGAACACTACTTCCCTTTAAACACTGTAGTTCTTTATTCTCTACCCATTCCTTCCAAGAAGTAAACTAGTTTCTCTCTTTCTCTATGTTGGTTACTGTACACCCCAAGGATTCACTCTTCATTTAATTCAAAATGTACTTCCACTTTTAATGACAAAGATAGATAAATTCCAAGGTTAAAGACTCATCTCTCTTAACTACCGAACACACTATTCAGAAGTCAAGCAAAATAATGCATTGCTTTCTTTTGCAGCTTAACAGTTTTCAATTGTCACCCTCTCTTCCCACTCTAGGACATTCTTCGTCCAAAAAAAAAAAAAAACCACCAAAAATGACACTACAAACAATAGACACAGACAACAATCTCTCTTTTACTTTCTTGCTGTAGAAGCATACATATTTTTTCTCTACAAAATATTTGGCAACTATGTATATTATTGACATTAATTTAACATAACTGCATCATATGGAAGGGTCAAACAATTATAAGTGTTGCAAATCAAGCAAGAAATGGAAAATGAAATAATTTATCAGGCATCATAAAAAACAAGAATGAAAGGTAGTAAAGTAAAGATACTTTTGTTGAAACATAAGACTACTCTCAGAAACAGATCACAGGAAAAAAATAAAGAATTAAGACAAACTGTTTATACAGGGAAACAAATTAATATGAAAAGAAAGCAAACTTCTCAGAAACACTAACTTAAGGACTGCAGAAAAACTACAGTCTGAAGTGTATTTTTTACTTAAAATATCAGTAAATAATTATAAGCAATTTACTGATAATACATTTACTCGCCTATTGCTAACTTTTGAAGAGCAACTTTTTCCTGGTTTTTTTTTTTTTTTTTTTTTTTTTTTTTTTTTTTTGCATTACAGTAGCAAGTCTGAAGTGAGGAGGGAATGAACTTAAATTTCCTGCTTAATCATTCAGGTAGATACCTTAAATATTCAACATAGGTCACTCTCAGAATGTGACCAATGGGGTGAATGTTGCATTTTGCATTCTCTTGCTTGCTTTGTGATGGACTACTTAATGGAATTTCACATTAGTGCAGCATACACATTTTCGCAGTTACATATACTTACAGAAATCCCAGATAAAATGATGTGCTGATATCACTCACCAGGGTTACAACGTTTTGCTATTGAAAAAATCTCATATACAAGTAAAAAATATCAATTTAACTGCCATGGGGCTAAAATGGGAACACAGCTGAACTAGTTGTTACCTGTAATAGCCATCCGTTGAAGACAAGCTACATGAACTAATGAATGAATGCAAAATACTTTTAACGCTAACAGTAGGAAAAATGTTAACACTATTTATTTGCACGTTTCCCTTAATTCTTGCATGGCTTGAATTCCCTTCATGATTATCATATTAACAACAGCTCATTCCTTCAGATTAGTTCAACTTTCTCTGTAATCTACTCCTTGTAACACAATTTTTACAAGTAAAAGCATAGGTGGATGTGCTGTTTCATGCAAAAATATTTCAAATATCCTTTCGCTCTTGCATTAAAGTACTCTATGTAAGTAAACATATGATCTCAATCGTGATATAGTAGAGGCCTTTTACCAAGAAGTTTGAAAAAAGCAGTTAAAAGCATGGATAACAGCAGCAGAATAAAATATCACATACTTGGTTTGTGTCAAGAAGCATAACCATACGTACAAAACATAGCTGTTTAAAGTATCCTACAAAAAGTTTATTCTTGTTTTTCATGGAAAACTTAATAGCAAGCTCTAGGTAATCACTTACTTATTAAAGATAATTAGCCCCATCGGAAAGAAAAATAGCATTGTACCATTAAATAAGTGTAAGATTTTTGAATATTATAGGATTTCCACCATCAGTAAACACACCTCACAGTTTCAACATGCCCAAAAGCACTGTTACCATCTCACAAACACTACAGAGCATACAGGCTCATTTTCTGCAACAGATGCCCAAGAATTCAGTGGAGACAGGTAAACATCAACTAAAATACTGATACATTTGACCTACATAAAAAGTACTCAAAGGAAAACAAAAAGCCTGTGTTAAAAGAAATACAATTTTTTTTTTTCCCAAAGTAACTTGTTAAAGATAAAAAAAATAATACTCCTAGTTTGAATCAATTTTAAATACTTTTTTTTTTTTTTTTAAAGTAGACTTTAAGAACTTCTTTTATTAAAATGTAAAACATTTCTATTTCTGTCTTCACAAGACTATCTGAAATACTGGAAAACAAAAACTTGAATGCTCCAATAATGCTTTATGAATTGGAAGCTGCATGCAGAAACACAGACTGAGCTTGCAGAACAGTCTTTGCTAAGCCCAAATAATAGAAAAGCATCCTAAATATTAAATATCGTGGCATACTTAATCACAGATGATTTAAGAAAGCTCACATAAGGAAGCAAATCTATCACTTATGTTCAACCGATACGTCAATAGAAAGAGAACTATTATAAAATAAAAAAATAGACAAAAAAATGTTTTCTACTATGTTCGCCATGAGAGAAAAAAAATCAAATCACTTTCTAGGAGAAATTTTGACTGATGCTCTTTAAGAGCTGTAACAATACTTAGCATAAGTGCACTTTTTCTATTATCTTCCAAAATGCAAATATTGTTCAGCATATGGTGATTATAAATGTAATAATGTCATTAATTTGTTAATAAACATGTAAATAACCATCAATACTGAAGAAAATTACAATCCACTAATACATTCACTTATGCTAATTATGAGCTGTTTGCAAAGCATAAAATTAATAGAATATTGGTATGCTAGCAGGTAGTTGAAATTATACTCTCATGTTGCATAAGCCATTTGTGAATCAATTAACAGCAAAGGATGAATGGTGTTCCAGTAAATTCCATTAAATCAATGCACAGACACAACAGTAGCAGAGGCAAACAGGCTGATAGAACTTTGAACACCCATAAAGATGATTAAAAAACAGTACTGTTCAATACAGCTACTTACATCATGGCCAAAAAGTTCTGTCTGTGTGGATTTATCTGCCTGGGAAGCAAGAGCCTTCTGCAAACACTGAGCTTTTTCCTGTAAAGCAAAATAACACAGCATAGGTGAGTCATCTTTTTGCTCAACTGGGTTTTGTAGCTATAAAAAACCAAATAAGTTCAAAACTCATGCACAGACAGCTGCTCAGAAATGGATTTTAATATGACACTATTCTCACTAAGGTTTATTTCCTTACTATTATTTCCTTATATCAACTTTCCTTTAAATAGACGGGAAAGCCCAACTATGTGTGAGAGTTGGGCCCACAAAGACAGTCTCTGCAGTGATGGGAAGGAACTTTTTCCACAGCAGATGCAAGCCTTGATGTAGAAAGAAGGAAACTCCATGAAACAAGGTTAGTACAACATCACTCTTGCTCAATATGAACTCATTAGCAAAGCCTAAACAGTTCTTGATCCCAATTTCTGCTTCTCACATCTCTCTCACTTTGCACCTCAGCTACTTCTGAAGTCTCATGAGGAAACCTCAGGACTGACTCACAAGAAAATATCTGGCCACTTTGAGAAAACCGTACATCACAAAAAAGCATTTTAGGACTTAATTTAAAACACTTTGCTGATTAGAAATAATCCTCACCAAGTCCTTAGATATATTAAAGGTTTTTTTCTTCTGGAAAGTATTTTGATCTCTCAATTGTAAATACATTGGATAAGGCAGCAAAAGGAAAGCAGGAGGGTAAGGTTCCATGAAGGGAATCCTTTGGCGCACTGAATTATACTTTCTTATTTACCAAGTTAGTTTTATTTTCCAGCTATATACATAGAAAACTCTTAACTCATCTTAGATGGAAATTCCTCATAAAAAAATAAAACAAAAATGTGTTTCCATATTGCTGACAAGTATGTATTACAGCAAAACAAAATTTAAATAAAGTGAAATTTTTGGTTAATGAAATCTAAAGTTGAGTGAAACTCTGGTTTTACTGCAATAAATGTATAGAAACTTTAGAAATGTCAGCTATTATTTGGATTGCATTTTCTTTCATAATCGTCTATTCTGCATATTTCTGAAATCAAATGTTATTAATTTCAAGGAAAGATGAACACCTCTAAATTGAGTGAATTTTCACCAAAAGCTTTTAATAGCAGGACAGTGACACCAAAACAGCCCTGTCTCTGGCAACTCAGCTTTCAAAATAAGGAAAGAAAAGGCAAGCAAATTAGCAATTCACTGCTCCCAAATTTACTGATGTAAGATAGCTTCCTAATTTCGAACAGAAAAAGCCCATCTTCTTGAGGTTTGAATTTGCTAGTCCATTGCCAACAGAATTTTTAGAAAACAGACACTGTTATATATGTGCTTTCTCATTTAGACAAGCAAGCTTTCCTGCTACAAAGCTCTGAAATTCATTTACCAACCCAGACATTGACAGAGACTATTCAAGAATATTCAAGTAACATGATCAGATTAATCCAGCACTAAACTATGCACATGACCAAATTTAACATTTTCATTCCGAGTGGAGCCACAAATGTACATTTTGAAAGAACTAGGAGAACATATACACAAACAAAACTTTCAATAAGGTAACCCATTAATTGGGAAAGCTAGGGCAGTCAGAATAATCACATAAGCAGCTCACAGAATTTAACTGTGTATGCACATGTCCTGGTTTTATGGGTTTTTTTTGTTTGATTGTTTTTGTTCTTTATTTTATTTTATTTATTTTTTTATTTTCAGTATTCCACATCAAAACATCACGTACTAGAATTAAAGTGTTAATGCTCCAATTCCAGGTACCTATCCCTATACATTACAGAAGTCATGGGATCTGACCCTTCCGGGGGGGGTGGTCTCTTACTGCCTGGCAGTGGGTGCCGGAGGGTGCTTTCCTAGCCATTCTAAGCTCTTCAGGTTTGACTTGGTCTCAGGAACTCTCTCTCCTATCTTATCTGATTTATTAGTCTCAATTTCAAATAGATTGTATTATATTGTGTTATCTTGCATTCTGATATCATAGTTAGTAAAATAAGTTTACCTCCATAGATTGTTGCTGCTGTTGTTTTTTTTTTTCCCTCCCCTCCTTTCCTTCCTTCCCATTTTGCAGGGCCAGGAAGGGGGGGGGCAGGGACTTACTGCCCCCTGTCACGGGCATAAATTGATCTAGTTAACTTCATGACAGCACACTAAGATCAATTCTCAACACAATACCCCAAGTTCTGACTCCACATTTTCTTCTTTACCAGAAGCAAAGTTAAAGACTTGAGCACTGACAATAAGCAATATCCTCTTTATTCTACAAAAAGATACACTTTCAATTGTTGTTCATGTGAATTATTTTTAAAACTATTGAAGATAAGAAGATAGCCCATGCCATTTATTTCTAGTGATGTGGCAAACACCTACAGATACCTTAAAATCATATTCCCATGTTTTAATGCAGAAAAGTTCTAGTTTGTAACAAAACAACATCCTACTGAAAGAGACTACGTATATTTAATAGCCATTCAACTTGATTTTAGTTGTTTCCCTAACTTACACTACATTTCTAGAATTCTTGTTGCCAGTATAAAGTAGCTGCTCCAATAAGCATGTCTTAGTTTATGAAATACTTGAATAGTAATACTGAAGGTATTAGACATAAGTATGCTGTAAGATGTTACTTGCAATATAAAAACACTTCTTAAAATGATGAGTTGGTTATTTAAGTATAATTTCATGCTATCTTGACTGTATCAATAGACAGACTTGATAATGAGCTAATTTGATATGTTTTGCTGGAAAAAATCCTTGCTACACTGCAGTATGAAACTACAGAATATAGGATAATAGATAAAAAAGCAAAACGAAACTTCAGTGTAACAATTTCTATAGAAGCAGATCTTCACACTGGAAATACACAGTAATCCTACTCTGTCTCAGCAAAATATTTATAGAGGCTTTATTTTGCTACATAATAAACAATTGTAAGTATTTTGCAATATTTGCTGGATATATACAGCACTGGCTTCTTTTGGCCACATATTTACTATTCATATCTAGACACAGCACAATATTTCAGACGCAGATCAGAAAGACAGTGTGTAGAGAGGTAATTCCCTATAAAGAACAAAAACTTCTTGCAGGAGAGAATTTTCATCTTTGCCCAAATACTTTTCAATATCACTGATGTGACATTCAGCCATGAATTCATTTTACTTTTGCAATTTGCACATGTGCTTAGTAGCAATTAATATGACATGGGCAAATCCCCCATACTTTTACTTTAGTCTTTGCTGTTTGAATGGACATCATCCTAAGAGCATTGCCACGAATGGAATGGCTTATGGTACTACCTGAAAGGAAGGCTGAAAAGGCAGGAAATACTTTTTCTTAAAACAAACAAAAAAAACGGGAAAAACAGAAATCTGAGTGCCAGAAAAGTGCATTTGGAACTAAAAGCCTGTCTTTTCCTGAGTTAGAGCAAATCAACCAAATAGCAGATCATCTTCACAAGTCAGATAGCACGTGTTAGCATTTACTCATATCAAAAGAAATTTAATCATATCACAAAGAAATAATCTGTATAGAAATATTTCTGTACAGTAGCCTTAAGCTTCCATCATTATTGGTAGAGATGTTTAATTTTTTTATTTTTTTATATATTTTTCACATTCCGAAGCTTCCCTCAGACTTTACAGCCATTTTGAAACATTATCCTCTTTCAGAAACTTCCAAGTGAAGCTGAATCAGTCACTTTTTCCATAACTGACCCTGCGCTCATACCACAACTACATACATTGCACCCTTTAACCTTTTTTCCAGTTATCAAAAAGCTTCTAAAAGTTGTTTCACAAGTCTGCATTGAGAGGTAGTCATTCTGAGGAAGCCAAAGCAAAGCATAAGGTACTTCCTTTATGTCTCCATTTTTCTTATGTGATATTTTCTTATGTGGTTCTTGCTTTCTGTCCTTCCATTGCATGTATCCAGAAGAATATATCTCCATCTTCTCTACAGGAACTTAGGTAGAAGAGGACTGAAGACAGATCCCTTCTTATCTTTCTCTTAAGGATGAACAAAACATATCCCTTTGACTCTGTAATGTCATGTTCTCTAGCCCCCTGTGCTTCATAATGGTCCCATAAAAGGAAACTCTCTCAAGACTGAAAAGGGATCAAGTCATTCATTTTTGAGATTCTTTTAGATCAGGTAAACAAACTACTTCTAGATGAATTTTTCAAATAGAGCATTACCTTTTTTTTTTTTTTTTTTTACCCTTCCTACACATTGTTTTTCCCTCTTATAAAATAAATAGCTTTAAGAATACATTTGTATGGTGACAGAACTAACGGCAGAAAAAAGTTCTCACTCACTAGGTTAATCCTAATTAGTAAAAAAACAAACTAACACAAGAGCAGCTGTTGGCACTTCTGAAGTTACATAGCAGGTTCATAACAACACTGCCAGCAACATTCATCACAAAAATCAGTCTCACAACCACGTGCTTATATACTTTTTCTTTATTATATTTGCAGTAAGCTACTGAGAGGTGCTGTAAAAGGAAAATAACTGGCATGAGCAGATCACTATTGTGTAAAAATATTATATATAAAATAAAAAACCCTGAAAGATGACAAAAGGATATAAACAAAGACAAAACAGCAGCATCGCTGAAGTCACAATAGAGTAATAAGCTGTTGACCAAACTGAGTTTCCTCCCAGAAAGACAAGAAATGAGGAAGACTACTGAGGTCAGAGTGATGGTAAAAAGTGAAATTTCTGTTAGAAACAGACAAGAAAAAGCGCTTTTTAAAAGATATATTCTTTAAGCATGTGCGATTTAAAAATTATCAGCAAATGCTTATTAAGAATTTTTGGACATATTACCTAGATGTGCTAATGCTATCAGAATTAAAAGAACACAGTATTAAACACATTAAAATTTGTGCTCCTCATCAGACTAGCACAACTTATGCCATCTGCCCACTCCACAAGACAACAATGAAGGCCGGTCTCCTGGTAGATATCACCCATCCCATGAAACAAGCATTCCACCTTTCAGCTACCCACACCCTTTCCCTGCCATGGCATTTTATCAA